TAGCCAGCACCCTCTTCCCTTGAGCAAAGAGGTGGGGTCTGTACAGTTAAACACCTAGCACAACGATTACCAATAAAAAGTACAAAGCCAAAGCCCAGACGAGGAGGTTGGCGGCAGGGAGCATAAGTCAGCGGGAGGGAAACAACGAGATCAGAAGTAACAGGAACACCAACACAACGTGAAGGTGCCCAAAGTCAAAGTCGGAGGAGACCAAACTCGCTGCCGCTGAGTTGAGTCCAACCCCTAGAGACCCTCTAGGACAGAGCAGAACTGCCCCTAGGGTTTCCACGGCTGGAATCTTTACAGAAGCAGACTGCCCCATCTTTCTCCCCGGGAGCAGCTGGTGGGTTTGAACCGCTGACCTTTCAGTTGGCAGCTGAGCGCTTAACCACTGCGCCACCAGGGCTCCTTTAACCAACGTCACTGAGCATTATGCCTAGAAACTGCGGAAATGGATTTTGCTGTGTATGTTTCTACTGAGAATAAAATAAAATGTTAACAGTACAAACCAAGAGGGCTGTGTTCGCAGCACCACCCTGAGGGCTGGCAGCAGAACTAAGAACACGGTGGGGCGGAGGACAGGCCACTGCAGGCAGCCGTGAAGGCACACGGCCGAGCCCCTGCTCTCCCGGAACCCTGCCCGGGACTCGGAGGGCGGCTCGACTCAGCAGATCTTAACTGGGAGGTTATAAGGCCCTGTGAGGGGCCCTCGCACTTACCCATAACCGTTGTCCACGATCCTTTGCACAAAGTTCACGACTTCGGGCACATATTCACTGACCCGCGTTAAGACATCTGGTGGGAGGACCTGTGGGTGACGAGAACGAGGAATTCCCGGGTGTCTTCCCTTCTGAAAACTTCGTCTCCGACAACACGCCCCACAGAAACAACAGCTGCGGTTTGCACAGCAAGGGGCCCTGCCCCTCGGCTCGAGTTCGAGGTCGATTTGACAATGTCATTTAGCTTGTGAGCTGACGGTGGTGTGGACCACACGGGGGGCGCGGGGCCAGCACGGCTGACGCACACTCACGTTCAGAGCTGCCATGTCTTTGTGGAACTCCTCCTCCCAGAACTTGGGCAGTTTGGAAAAGATGGAGTTGTCTGTCACCTCGCTGCCAAACCTGGAGTCCAGCCAGTCAGAGAGCAGGTCCTTGGCCGCCTCCAGCAACACCTAAGAAGACAAGGAGATGCTGACGCAGGCGCTCTGGTTCACACGACCGGCGCCTGGCGCGGGCAAAGTTGGCTCGGTCGGTGCCCTGAATTCAAGGGCGTGCGGTCCCCAGCCCGAACCCTGGAGAGCTCTCCTCCCACAGAGGACGACACCCACGTGGGAGCTCAACACCGAGAGAGA